AAATCTCGCTTTCGTTTACGACGGGAATTTTATTTGCGGCGGAACGAGGGAGTGTTTTTGAAATTTATGCAAATTTCGGTGTTTTTTGGGTGGTAATAGAAGACATATTATCCCTTCCATCTACCAAAATATTTTGAGTTAGATCACGAAATTGCTACAGCAATATTATGCTATTGTCTGCCAACCACGAAGCGTAACAGTAAAGAATTTAGCGAATATTTCTATTTTTTATCACAGTTTAGAGTTTCAACTCCCAAGAAAAAAAAATGCCTTTTTTCCATCCGGTTTGTGACTCAGACCACCACTTTTAAAAAACCTTTTTTTTTTAATCGCCAATTGCAAGCTCTTTAAATAAGCTTTCCAACGAGCCGTCAGTGGGCAGCAGAGGATCATTAGTTTTTCGTTAGTCGATCGATTACTTGTGGGGGTACAAATGCATAAAATCGGCGTAGCAAATACGATTATTTATTAAAAAATAAAAATCGCATGGAAAGGGTTAAATTAATTTAAAACAAAAACCACATTATGTTACTGTTATAAATGTGTCATTTTTCATAATAAATTCCCAACCCTGATTAGATGAATCCAAAATTTATCCTCGTTTTGTAAATAGTTCTCTATAAACTGAGAGTTAAAAAAAAGAACCTGTATCAATTTATGTATTTATTCATGTGTTGTATTGGGTGGTAACTGACTCAGATGACCGTAACTGGTCGTATCGTTACCTCCCAGTCATACCGAAGACTTTTGTTTCACTTATTATGTTATTATTATATTTAATATTATGTGTTTTCTGGTTGACGAAATAATAAATTCTCTCTCTCTCTCTCATCCGACCACTGGGGATCCACCTACAGCTGACTAACTTGACTGTTACGTCGTGCAGAAGTCTGCGTTCATTGGCCCATGATACCGGAAAAGCAGAGAAAATAGGACAGATGGTAACACATATTTATTGTAGTAAAAGCGTCTTTTCTGTAAAACGTGCAACTTTTGGAAGTGGGAACAAGGCAATATTTGTTACTAAATTTCTAAGGAACATTTTAAAATCATTTTCAGGTAGTTACCTGATGTGCGCTACGAAACTGAAAGATAAATGGCCTCGGCTCGCGGCCTATATGGGAGTATTCTATATTGTGGCACTGCATCCGTTTTTATAGCTTCGTGCAAACTTTCAACGTATTAATTATATACAGTAACAACGTATTAATTGCCTGCAAAATCGCGACATAAATTGCGTCGGATACCTTCAGAGCTTAGTGACCATCACTAAATTATCGCAAAACTCCTGCGTATGACGTATGACGAATCAAGACGCTATCAGGGTATCTCGGCATGCGTCGACTACTTCTGATGAACGATCCTTTCGTCACGACCTCTCAATGCAGACGCATTGTGACGAAGCAGGATGCCACTCGTTCAGAGATGGGCAAACTACGGCCGGCATGCAGTCCATTACTACCGGAGAAGGTCGCGATTTTTTTCCTGAACATTATCAACTAGTTACTTTGTTTTGTCAAATGAAATCGTACCAGTTGATTATTTTACTTTGTGATTTAATATAACTCTTTTGCAATCTTTAATTTTGGATATTTTATATATTAAACTTAAAGTAATTATATGATACCGGTCTTATGAAAATACAAGTATGTACTCGTTTTCAATACGTTCTTTGCAAAAACGATTTTCTGAATGCTGCCCATGCAAAAAAAAATTTCCCACCCATGCACTCGTCTTTCCAAATCTATGTAGCTCATCAACCTTCTAATATAGGATTCAGAGATAGTTTCACGAACGGAGTTTAGCGATTATATGCCGAAAACGACCAAAGTTTATAATGGGCACTTCAGAAGTGTGTGTACCAATATGGAGGTAACTAATTTTGTTCGCCTACTTTACATCAAGTTGTGTAAAGGGACTGAAAATTATGGGCAGGGGGTATTTTCACTTGGCTAACATAACAGTCCCCGAACTCGTAACAGAATTAAAATGAGGAAAATCGGAATAAAATTATGGCCTAACCCTAACGTGGTACACTCACTACAGGAGTGCCCTATGAACACCCCAGCAGCATCCTTATTACTTATCGATTTTAATCGGTAAGTATGTTGATAGGTATCTGTCTGTCTGTTAGATGCACGCGATATCTCACGAAAGCGAGATTGAATATGCTCCAGATTTTGCATGTGCATTCATCATAGGTCGTACCAGAAGCCTATTGATTTTGGATGAATTATGTCGTATAATTAGCTCGTTATTAATTAATTAGTGATGCGACACAAGGTGTCACTATGGAAAAAGAGCGCTGTTTTGGGGGATCCCCTAACTTTCGATCGATAAGTCTTCAGTCTCTGACCGATATTCTGGTTTCATTTCTTGACAGGATTTATTTAGGAGCAACAACGAAATTAATATTACTGTGCAACAATGAAAAAATAGCGAACAATAAAATAAATATAAGAAATATCGTAGACTTTGTAGCATCTGATTAAGCTTTAACACTCAATTTCTTGGACATATGAAATAACACGAAAAAACTGGTGAATCTAAAAACATAAATGTGCCAAGCAGTTAAACAAGCATCATCTCCTCAATGTATAATTGAACATATGAGAGAATTCATAGCTTCCAATTTGAATTAGTTTTGAAACAGAAGAAATACATGGAGTAAATGTTATACTGTATTTCTAATGAGTACACTAATCAACTTTTAAAAATAAAATTCTGATTGGGATAACAATCACCAGTCACATACATATTATCATTATTAAACTCTTTTCTTTCTGCCATATCGATGGTTCATCAAATTTAATGGTGATTAAAGATATCTAAATTTAGACCGAAATTGAAAAAAAACAGGACCTCCTGATGTATGCGCACCAAGATGGCGCACGACCTGAACTCAGGTTGTGACCAGGTTAGGGTTCAGGTTGTGCGACATCTTGGTGCGCATACTTCAGGAGGAATCAAAAAACATTTACTAAGAGATTTGAATTTTCTATTAACGAAGGCTTGCATAATCCAAACTTTTTGTCAGAATTGGGAGTTAAAATTTTGAAATGTAAAATGACATTTTTTTGTATCATACATAGCAAGAAACAATTTTTTAGACCGTCAAGACCCATGTGACACCCTATTTTCCGGCTGGACTCTCTGTCTGATATACGGTCTAACTTGGTAATTAGAAATGTCAGAATCCCCACCCTTTGAAAATTTTTACTTATGCCCCTGGTCCGAGCAATATTTTATTCAATTGTAAATTTACCCAGACTACACATTCTTGCGACAAACTCATCAAATTGTAAATAACACAAATTTACCAGCAATTTCACTGAATTTAAAATATTACACATACAAACTACACGTTTCTTAGACATGATATGTGTATTAGTTAGTTCAAGTTATTAATCTAATTATAAATACCAATTAAAAGTCCACAGATATTCTTATTACAATGAGTAATATTTATATAAACAAGACAAATAATGAAAATATTTCACGGAACAGAAACTATAGGAATTACAATAAATATTTCTTTTTATATAGACATTTATTATTTCTTAAATTGTGTCAAAATGCATCACAGAATCATAAAAAGCTTAACCACCTCAACCAGTGGAGTTCATTAAGATGCTTATTCAAGGCATTCCATTCGAGCAAGGCCATGCACAAGTATCACCTGATTTGAAAGGATTTACTATTTATTGAAAGGCTAAAATATTTCGGCCCTGCCTGCTCAGTTTAACACATTCTGGGTGAGGTAGTGGGGCATGCAATGCGAACAAAGTCAACCACTAAGCCAGGGGTAGGCAACCTTTAAAACAGGAGGGCCAGAGAGAAATAACTGGGTGAAACCACAGACCATAACTTTATTTAACATAGTCTTTCTAGTAGTTGCAGGTGCAAAAAAGCATTGTAACATCATATGCATGTATAATGAATTGGACACAGGTACAGGGTTCGCAGAGCAAAAGGATTAGAATTACAAGCATGTAACAGATTAAACTAAAATTGTTTCCTTTCGGTGGGTTGCACAATTTTTCCTTGTGGGCTGCATTTGACCCGCAAGTCGCACACAACTGCACTTAGCCATCACATTCACGATCTCATATTCTTGTTTTAAAAATTTAACTGAGAGCCCCGTTAATGACTCAATGATGCATTTTTGATATAGTACTGTTAATGTAAGACATCACAACATCAAATGCTGAATAAAAATATATGAAATTGATTTTGGAGAGAATACTCATGATCATTGATAGAATACAAAGAACTGAGAATGTCCAAATTTGAATAATTTATAATACCATAAACGTAAATATTTCTGAATCTGCAATATCCGATATTACCTTGATTGTGCAATGTTAAAAAGAAAAACACCATACTTTTCCATATTATTTGGTTTTGAATTTGATGTAAAATTTATTTAAAGCAGCTTCAAAAATATTCTAAATATTCCTAAATTTCATATACCCTACATTGTATATCAACAGTATTTTTAACATATTTGAGCATGCAATACAATCCATTGGTATTCTATCGTTGTATTTTCTTTCTACTGGTATTGGACATTTCACAAACTTTGTACCAAGTTTGCTGACAGGCAAAACGAGGTTAGTCTGGCAACTTTATATTATCTGACTACATTGGTTGACCAGATGTTCAAGGTATTAAAGACAATAAAGTCAGTGACACGACACAAACTGGACTAGGGTCACCATATATCGCAAAGTCGAAGTCATTTGAACGTCAGTGAGAATTTCAGTATTTACCGGACTTGAGATTCGAATGACTTGTGCTTCATGGTTCAGGGACCTCTACCTAAAACTATCTGATGAATATTACGACTATCAGTGGTTAACTTGGCACCAATTGACAATTTCAAATTTTGGCGCTCTCGTAGTATGTGAACCAAGATGGCGGACACCAAAACATAGTATGTGTACCAGGTTACGGTTAGGACATAATTTTATTCCAATTTTCCTTATTTAAGTTCCATTACTAGTTCGGGGACTAGCCAAGTGACTCCCGTAGTATTTGCACCTGAAATTATGACCTAACCCTAACCTGGTACACATACTTCGTTCAGGTGTCAGCCATCTTGGTTCACATACTACATGAGTACCCAAATTTCATAGCAGATAACCAGTTATAGATTTTCAGAACGAGCCAAGTAAGCTGACAATTTGATGTTATAGCTCCAATGTTATCAATATTTTTCCAACGATAAATTGGATTCCAAAAATTTCAGTCAGAAAAAGGGTTTAGTATATGAATTAATTTAAATTTGAATATTCGCTTCTGTAAATTGATTTTTGGGCTGTTATAAGGACGATGGATTCGATAACGAAATATTAATAAATAAAAAACAGCGAGATAAAATTTGAAAGAGTAAGTTATTGTGCTTGATTGCCTTGGCATTTCTTAGGAAAACCAGGGACAGAACACCAATGGTTATCGTGTATTCCAGTCCGACATCCAGGGGCTTTTCTCTCGATTTGGAAGCAGCACATCCAGTACGATCGGCCGTATGGAAGATCACAATGATATGATTTAGCGTGATATCGGCACATTGAGACATCGCCTGATGTAAAGCGCTTCCGACAGAATCGACATGGATCATCAATGTATCTGTGAACAAAAATTGCAAATTTTGCTCGAGACAAGGGTCAATGCAGCATCCTCAACTACATGTGAAGAGAGTACAGATATAAGTAACATGAGCTACCACAGTATCACAAAGACCCGTCTTGCTTGCAAAAATTTCATCCAAATGCAAGTTATCCAGTTTAAAAAATGCTGCTATACAATACATGTATGCTAATTAGTTGTTAATCCAAGAGAGTAGTCAGAAACCTTTTCAAAGGGGGTGCGGAGGAAGCAGGATTCGAAGTCAAAAAGTTCACAAAAACAAAGTCTAGTACAATTTCTGTAAAATAAACTACAAGAAGCCATGTTTTTTCGATGAGAAAGGTTTTGATGATGCTAGTTTAGACAATCTTTTATTGATTTTGCAATTACAACAGTGTATATAACAGCAATTATAACAGTGAAAAAACAAATGAATTGCCAGTAATAGAAATTAAACAAGAATTTGAATCCAGTTGATTATGATTCAATAAATAAACCAATCTCTGCATAACCGACATGCATCCGGCTTTTTTACTCATATCTTAAACTTGTGTATGAATATTGTCAAATCATCATACAGGGTGTCCATAAAGTCCTCTTAGAATTTCAATTTTGTTATGAAGTCAGTTCTCAATATATCTCAGGTTTGTTGTTTTTATTCAGTAATTATTAAGATATTTTTACTTCATTTGATACATCTGTGATGACCAAAACAATATATGATATCGATAATTTCCCTTTGCGATTTTCCATTTTTTTTTAGACTTTATGGACACCCGATATTACATCCAAGGTTCCCTCGAAGGAGTGCGCGCAACTGTGCCATTGCGCAGTCCCTCCAAATGATTTGCGCACTACAATCTCTTGCGCTTGCATCATTACTTATCCATCTTAAGATCGGTAATTTGTCTGTCTGTATGTCTGTTAGATGAACGCGATATCTCAAGAAGGCGAGATTGAATCTGCTCCAAATCTTGCGTGTGCATTCATCATATCTCCGACCAGAAGCCTATTGATTTTGGATCAATTATGTCGTATAATTAGCGAGTTATCAATTAATTAGTGATGGGACACACCGTGTCACTATAGAGTTACGGTTTCCGACCGATATTCTCGTTATGTTTTTGAAGCGTGGTGGGTATATTTTCTTTAGAATACCCGTTCCATGTTTCAAGTGTGTTTTGGTTGACACCGTTTCTTTCTATGTCACGCACTAGTCTGTTACGTCTGTTTTCTCTGGAATCCTATTTTTAGCCGAGCCTACAATGCCACAATATTTCACAAAGTTTAGGACTCTGCTAACTCAGCCTTAAAATATTCATTCTCACTAAAACAAACATTTGCTCAGTGTAAAATTTGCTAACACAGATTACATCATAAAAATATAGAAGGTTCGGACCTCCAGAGGTATGCGCACCAAGATGGCGCACAACCTGAACATAGTATGCGTGTACCGGTTAGGATTCAGATTGTGAGACATCTTGGTGCGCATACCTCTGGAGCACCAATGGTTCGATAGCATACCCACCTCTCATCTTTTACCCACATTGAGTCAGTACCTCTGACATCATAACTGTCAATGAGAAACTGAAAATCTTTGCAAACACATTTCAGCATCGACAATGACTTTGTGTCCATCAATGAAAATATTTGAATTAAAACATGGTCAGGAAGACGTGACGTCCAATCTTGATTGGTTTGAAAGTGCATAGCTATCTGCTGCCTGAGATGTGGATATAAATTGAAGTTTTAAAATCCAAAATATAGTCTTTTTATCTTCTGACAATATGAACCAGGTCTTTTGGGCTGGATTTTTAAAACTATATATGTTTTAGTTACAATTTTAGGTAGTGCCTATTGTCTAATTTTACGCTTGGCTGTACCGGTCAGAAAAATACAAAAATGTGATATTAAATCATTTCATTCTACTGCGATGTAATAGTCTCTATGATAAAATACTGAAAATTTGCTAGTTTTAGAAAGAAGGCATTTTTTCACAACAATTCAGCAGAATATTCTATATTTAGACCCTGTGTCCAATGAAATATTACTGCTTTACATACCAAGTAATAACCCATGTCAGACAAAAACTACAATCAAGAGGTAACAAGGAATAACGACCTGTACTCCCGAAGTATGTGGACCAAGATTGCGGACATCGCATGTAGTATGTGTACCAGGTTGGGGTTAGGCCATAATTTCAGGTACAAATACTACAGGAGTCACCAGGCTAGTCAGCGAAATCGTAATAGAACTAAAATAAGGAAAATTGGAATAAAAGTATGGCCTGACCCTAACCTGGTACACATGCTCTGTTCCAGTGTCTATCATCTTGGTTAACATACTTCGAGACTACCCAACGTCCCACCTATTTGACCGAAACTTGGCATGAGAGAATTTCTTGAATATGCAACATTGAATAATATTTACAAGATGCCAACTCACATGGAAACATTAAAAAATGTTTAAAAATGCAAACTGTTCAGGAAAAATTTCATAAGTAGTATATAACAAACCTTATTGCTGGAAAGGATCCTGATTTCTGCAGCATGAAAACTGGAGTTGGAAATCTCATAGACTGTAAAATAAATAAAAAGAATTACAAATATTCGAATACTCAGGTAATTTTTATATCCTTGTTAATGAAAGATTTTTCAATTTAAAGTGTATCGAATAGTGACAAGTGTTAGCAATTTCACCTCTAAAAATAGATTGCATATTCCCAGCTTATTACAAAATACTACTAACAATTTCATCACTAGTAAAAGCACTGTTTTTGAAATACTTCGTGGATAACTAAAAAAGCGTAGGCTGGTGATCGCCAAGCCTATCTTATCTTAAAAAATGAAAAATTTTACCTCTAAATATTGTTGCTCCAGCTCGGTTTTGGACTGAGCAACAACTGGAGCAACAACAATAACTTCTGGACAAGATTTTGATCTTGAGATTAACTTCTTTAATTTCCGTCTCATTCGTTGGTATCGAGTACTCGGCGTTCGTCGAATTCTTTTCTCCGATTTTTGTGCTGTGAGATACTCTTGCCTCGGAGATAAACAAGACTCACTCGAACTCGATGAACTGTCCATATTATCAGACGAGTCGTCAAAGTTCAGAGCGAGAGACAAATCTTCATCTTTACTCGTGGACTTTGATAAATCAAGTTCATCTTTAAATGAAGGATTTTCAGTTTCGATTCGAGACTCAGTATTGCACAATGATAAATATAAATTGCCTTCGTCGAGTGAGTTTTGGGGAGAATTTATTCCACAAGCACCGTGAGATTGTAACTCAATATCATGAAAATTCATTGACGAAGTATCGCTGAATTGAGGATTTTGAACCTCTGATGCAGAGTCCATTTTTGAATCGTAAGAGATTGAGTTATTTTTATTGTCTGGGAGGTCGAGATCAACTTGAATTTCTGTGGAACTAGCGTGTAAAGAAACAGCGTTCCCATATCCATCATCTCTGCTTTCTCTTTTACTTTGCATAGGTTCATCATCAGAGGATGAGTGTTTTCGTTTTGTTTGGGAACACTGGACCTCAGAAACGGTCAAGTCAGGATATATTTCCAAACGTCCACTTTTATTATTTATGATATTTGACTCGAGTTCAGGAGCACAACTTTCTGAAGGGGCTACAGTGGGTAAGGTGGCATTATCGACTGGGTAATATGTCCCCCCAGGACATGGGATTGCTTTTTTACGAGCCGCAGTGGGAGGGGGAGTTTTTGTTTGAGATTTGCATACAGAGATAGGAGGAAGACTTGTGCTTTTAGAGTCTTTCGACGAAGCTGCATTTTGGGTTATTATGGAAGGTTTATGGTAAGATAATGCCCCAATATAATTCTCTTGTTTGGGCCTCACAGAGTCAATCCTTGGTAATGTAGAACTAGTACGAGACTGCGTCAAGATTCCTTGCTCTAAGTTATGTTTCCGACATTCCAAACACATAGAAGCTGAAAAAATAAATGATACTATCATCATAAAGTTTATATCATTATTTTTCCATACAAGCTGGCAAAGCATTAGCTGTTGGTATTGCAGGTCCAATTCCAATTCCCATGCCACCACCTCACCCGTGATGTCATAAACTTGATAGGGAACGTTGTACCGAAAAAATTTAGGTTCCTCTAAAATAATAACCATGCATTTGCATAATGATAAAGTCCCTTCATTGACTTCCCTTTTACCTGATATGTAATGGTTAATCCGACCCCTATCCTATCGAATAAATGAGACCAAGACAGCTATGAAACACCAACTTAATTGTTAAAAATGTAATTTTTTGTTCAAATTTATTGTTAATTTTTGGCAACCCTGCTCATTACTTTCTTTGCATTCTTATTGTTTTACACATGACATGTATTGGGTTGGCTTGCCCTGATTTATGCATATGGGCTATTCCAAGCGACACTGCAGGACAATTCCAGAAATTTTTCAAGTTGTTGGATGCAATATATTTTTACATTTTCAACAACATGTTTTGTTTCATAGTCCAATCAATTGCTTTATTAAATATGGAAAAAATTGCACAAAAGTTACACCCAAGACATACTTGGTGGATATAAAAAATATAGTAAATCCACCATGCATTAACAGTACATTGTGTTATGCTGTAAATTTTTGCGATCGTACAGCAGGAGCCCATAATATTTTCTGGTGCAGTAGCTGAACTACCCCTCCATGTGTTGCTCAATTCACCTAATGTAACACTGTAAATCCATGCCAATAATGTGCATAATGTATGTGACACTACAGGACGTGACACCACAGGACATTTTTCCACTTCGAAACAGCGGCCTCTATCATCTCTCAAAATTCTGGTAATAAATCGTTAAATGGGTGAAGAAATGTCCTACAGCACTGCAAACATTTCAACTTTATTAACTTAAATTCAGTGAGTCCATTTCATATGAAATAACTGCATCACACAATCAAACACTTTGTGTCACGAATCATCACAAAACTTGTCAATTATACCAAAATTTCTACATTTTAGGCCATTTTTTAAAAACCATCAAAAACCTGGGTGAAATTTTAACTTTTTCGGTGAAAGGAATGCAGTTCAATAAAATTCCAATGTCTTCTGATATAAAAAATACAAAAAAATTACTTTCACTACACTTTTAAAAAAATTGATGGAATTCAACTTTTGCTTGGAATGGCCCATATTGTGAGATGGTTGCCGAATAAGAAAATATATCTGGTGCAATAGTATAATATTTACATTTCAAGAGTGACAATAGTCAATTCGACACTTATTACATAAAGCCTCTGTAAAAATATTAATTTGGAAGCAATATCCATGTTTTTTCCCTTTTAAGCACCTATCAATAACAAACAACAAACCTAGACTACAGCCTAACAATGTAAAGAAAAGACGTAAGAACACCTAAAACATCAATTGGCACATTGATAATGTATTTACATAGCGTCCATCAATAATGTAACTGAATGTCTGGAAGTGATACAATAACGTACACACACAAAGCAACATTTATGCTAAATTGAGTGAAAAATTAGCCATACTAGATGCTATAATAAAAACAAGTATGTCTGTGTGATGAATCTAACATATTACGAGTTGCATTTACAAATGGGTGCTCCAGAAGTGTGTGTACCAAAATGGAGGAAACTAATTTTGTTCGCCTACTTTACATCAAGTTGTATAAAGGGACTGAAACATATGGCAGGGGGTATATTTACTTGGCTAACACAGACAGTCCCCGTACTCGTAATTAGGGCCCGACTGATATATCAGACATATTTTTCACAAATTTCGAACAATCGGTATCGGCTAATTTCACCGATAGTTATCGGCCAATCACATGACTGCCAAAGTATCAAAATTATGCCGGAAACATCGGTATCGGCTTATCGGCCTAGTTTTAGAAAACTATCAGTATCGGTTTAAAAAGTCAGTATCATTCGGGCCCTACTCGTAAAAGAACTAAAACGAGAATATCGGTCAGAGACAGAGGACTTATCGATCGAAAGTTGGGGGATCCCCCAAAACAGAAACTGCGGTTTCAATTCGAAAAATTCTGCAAACCCGAACTAGATTGTTTTGAATAGTTTTCAGCCAAAATCAAAAATGTAGGAAACAATAGCTAATTCCCCATGTCGTCATCGAAATATTAGTCGAGGAAATACTTTTATGAAGAATTCTGCAAATCCGAACTGAATTGTTTTGATTAGTTTCCAGCCAATAGCCTATTTACCAATCCTATATTTTGTGCCAAACACAACGGCGCTAATCCGGGTTGCGACGGCTATTCAAACACAGCCTAGCGATATTTTGGTGAGGAATTCTGCAACCCCGAACCTGATAGAGGGATATGGACATTGCTTAACTTTGAAGAGTAATTATAAGTAACGACTAACGAGATACGATCTCGCGGTGTGTATCCTTCGCTCTAACCCAATAGCGTGGAAAATTTCTCGAAGGAAACTTGCGCATCGCGACGACGTCAAAGTTACAAGAGAGATATGGACAATGCTTAAAGATTAATCACGAGATACGATCTAGCGGTGTGTATCCTTCGCTCTGACTCACTAGCGTGAAAACTTGCGTTTCGGACACGCACGCACACATTCAGCGCGTCTCGAAAATCTCTCACTTTGTAAAAATCCAGATCTCTTCATCACTAATTAATTAATAACTCGCTAATTATACGACATAATTCATCCAAAATCAATAGGCTACTGGTCCGAGATATGATGAATGTACATGCAAAATCTGGAGCAGATTTAACCACGCCTTCGTGAGATATCGCGTGCATCTAACAGACAGACATACAGACAAATACCTATCAACATACTTACCGATTAAAATCGATAAGTAATAAGGAAAATCAGAATAAAATTATGGCCTAACCCTAACCTGGTACACATAACACAGGAGTACCAAAAAATTTTGCAGCAAGATAGATCTGTATAGAATATAATAAATAGAAGTATATTCTTCTTCATTACAAATCATTGTTGATACATAGCAATGCTGCTTTTTATTATTTGTTAAAATTGGCTTGCCCTGACTTTTGCATACTGTGATATGGTTGCCAAATAAGAAAATACATTTGGTGCATTAATATAAATATGCACATTTCGAAGAGTGACAATAGTCAATTCAACACTTATTACATAAAGTGTGTTGCCTTTGTAAAATTATTAATCTGTCCTTTCTCCCTTTTAAGCACTATCAATAACAAACAACACACCTAGACTGCAGCCTAACAATGTAAAGAAAAAACTTAACAACACCTAAAACATCAATTGGCACATTGATAATGTATTTACATAGCGTCTATCAATAATGTAACTGAACGTGTGAAAGTAATACAATAACTTATATAAGCAAAACACCACTTAAGCTAAATAAAGTGAATTAGCCATACTAGATGCTATAATGGAAACAAATATGTCTGTATGAAGAATCTAACATTGTCATTTACAAATGGGCGCTCCAAAAGTGTGTGTACCAATATGGAGGAAACTAATTTTGTTCGACTACATTACATCAAGTTGTGTAAAGGGACTGAAACCTATGGACAGGAGGTACATTCACCTGACTAACACAGACAGTCCCCGAACTTGTAATAAAACTGAAATAAGGAAAATCGGAACAAAATTATGGCCTAAGCCTTACCTGGTAGGATGGTACACATAGTACGGGAATACATACATATGTTGGAGCATACGATCAATGCTCAAATATAGACATGAAGGTCACACATTTATATCACTACGGTGGAGCCTTAGCTGAACACAGTGTTTGCCAAAAAGATGAGAAGACAAGTGTGGCAGAGGGCCCCAGTGATGAAATATTTCATAACAAGTGCACCCATGAATAAAAAATAAACCAACAAAATTTTAGGTGTAATATTAGGTCCTGTATGACTGGGAGAATTAAAAAAAATTAGCCATTTAGCGACTCAAATCTTTAATTCGGCAGTGATAAATTGAAATGAGAAGGTATATTAGTTGCAGATTTCGCAACAAAAATTTGTCTAAAACTTAAGTCTAAAATAATGTTGATATTTGGATATCACAGCTGTAAAACCCAAGTCCTCAAAATGAAACATAAGCTTATTTGGATCTGCCGTGCCAATATGGTCATCGTAAAGTACCACCCCAATAAACCATCAAAACAATAAGTAATCCGTCTAAATTATGTCTAAAATAGCCGTACGAAGTCGAGAAATAATTCAAATGTTAAATCTAACCTAATTCAATTTGGATATAAACAGCAGACAGTATATTTTCAGATTATTTCTGGATTAACAATAGATCTCGGCTCTCCATGATGATGATAAATTGACAATAATAGTCTCAATGAGCGTTTGTTGTTGTTTCAGGCACTTAAAGAGTTACCTCTGATAGATACCATACTTCATCGACATTTATATGGAGAAGTACTTAATAATAGTAGAGAGTGGGCGAAACGTATAGCAACATTTACTCTAATATTTGTCTGTGTTAACTTTAATTCTACATTAGACTGGCTGTATTTTAGGCGCTCCAGAAGAGTGTGTACTAATATGGAGGCAACTAATTTTGTTCACCTACTTTACATAAAGTTGTGTAAAGGGACTGAAACTTATGGTATATTCACTTGGCTAACACAGACAGTGCCCGAACTCGTAACAAAACCGAAATAAGGAACATCGGAATCGGAATAAAATTATGACCTAACCCTAACCTGGTACATAAACTATGAATTACCATTTAAAGTTTAGTGCATTCGACGTTGCTTTATGCTACCTTTATAAAAGAAAATGAATAAATCACTAGGACTGGCTAAAATTTCAATTATTCACCTCAAACCATATTAAAAAACAAAATTCAAAAGGAAAGGCCAAATTTAAGTAAAATACTCTGGCATTATGACCAACAAAACTTCAATAAGCTTGAATTTAAAATAGGAAAAATTTCAATCAATTCAACATCTTGACTC